ACGCAAAAATATCTGAGCGCCCGCCAAGACGCCACCACGGGAAGAAAATAAGCGCCGACGGCGCGCCCGAACATATACAAGCCTTGAACCCCCATCGCATGGTCGATGTGGTCGCAGGCCCTGCCGACGTCAATGTCGGCACAGGCCCGAGCAAACTCGCAATGCAAAAGCCATGCTGATATCGCGTGAAATACACCACTGGAGGCGCCCAGCATACTGATTTTCTGGTGGTCGATATAACTCCCGCGATAGCGTTGACAACCAGCACCGCACCAACATAGAACTAACGGAGATTGGGCGAAACTCGACCTCAAACTTCGGGGCCCCCGCCACCCCCCCAAAGGGAAAATGGGAACCAGAACGGCGTTCGGCGGCGCCAGAGCTCATGGAGTTCCAAGATGGTATCAGGAAAGAAACACCCCAATCGCTTCAATTCCGTCGCCGCCCGGCCGTCGAAACCCGGGGAACCGCGGCGCGAGGCGATGGTCTTTTCAAGCGCGGCCGAGCTTGGCAGCCAGTGTTCACTTTCACAAGATTGTGGGAACTCGACGTCGGCCGCCCGCTCCTGCCACCTGGCGCAGTTACCAACGGAATCATTAGCAGTCGGCGGCGGAGCCCGCCGCGAACTCCATTCACGGCGCGTCTCCTCCACGTCAACGAGAGTTTTCGGAGAAACTGCTCTGGACATCTCCGTGGCACGGCGGTGAACATCCCTGCTCCATGCCATTCAACGCTTGCGCCACTCACGAGTGCGAGCGGCCTGGATATTCTGTTGCTCCCTGGCAATGCCGCGAGAGAGCACATCTAGCGTCTCGTTGCGAGTTGGGATTCCAAACGCAGGTGCACCCACAATGCCGCCCTTGCCAGCGCGAGCGAGTCGACCACAAAGTCGGCCATCCAACGGCGCATGCGCCGCGGGCTTTTGTCTTTCATGTTCTGAAATACCCGTCGGCAAGGGCGCAGGAGATGACGACGGGCACCAGCCTGCGCCAAGCGGCGCGCTGCACCCCGCAATGTCGGTCTCGTCGCAGCCGTCGAACCCCTCGGACGCTCGGCGACCCTCTCCACTGAAACGCAGTCGGCCTCCATCGCCAGCTCAAGAGCCAGCTCAGCCCAGGGCGCGCCGGCAGCTCTTCTCCTGGCGCCGTCCTTGCGATGCCGCCATCTCCCCGAGCTATCCTCAACCGGCGTCTCGCGTGCGCTCTTCGTCCTACTCGCGCCGATTACCGGCTGCAGAACTGGCCAATTGCCCCCCCGCTCGCCTGGAAGAGCTACACCGGCGCGACCCCATGCGTCCAGGCATGACTTCACCGCTGCAACCTCGCACTCGTTCACGCCATTATTGATGGCCACACTCGGCGCGACAACTTGGTTCGCATGTTCGTGTCAAGTGCGCTGGGCGTCCCCGAGGTCGCCCTCCCGCTTGCTTCGGAGCACAGCATTCCTTCTCCACGGTCAGAGACGCCGAAATCCTAGCCTCCAAAACCAACTCGTTGGATCCCATAGAGCGCCTCTTCGGCCCAACTTCGCGGAGAGTTGGGATCTTCAAAGATAGCCCCAGTTGATAGAGCACTAACTGGCATGTCATTCGCCTGCTCGGGGATCGCACGTGCGCCTCCTCCAAGAACTCATTCGACCTCCCCATGTGGCACTTGAAGAACTGGAGTATCACGCGCTGATGAGGATGAGGATGTGGGGTGCTGAAACCAGCGCCCCGCCTGAGACATCCTCAAAATCTGATCTGAAAGCCAAGGATGTTGGGCATGAAAACGGACAAACCGCCTGAGACAACCCCACAAACTGGCCGCGAACGGGCCCGGGTCCTACCCACTGGCGGCTCCTTTGAGGGGTGCTGAAACCAGCGCCCCGCCTGAGACATCCTGACAAACTACTCTAAACGCAGACGGGTCTGCCCGCCAAAACAGCCAAACCGCCTGAGACATCCCCACAAACTCGCCGCGAACGGGCTCGTGAAAACACCCCTGGCGGCGCCCCTTTGGGGTGCTGAAACCAGCGCCACGCCTGAGACATGCTCCGAATCTTCTGTGTTGAATAAGCCTGCGTATGAGTAAGACTGTCTATGAGAAGGTCTGAGTATGAGTAAGTCTGTGTATGAGTAAGTCTGTGTATGAGTACGTCTGGGTATGAGTAAGTATGGGTATGAGTACGTCTGTGTATGAGTGAGTATGTGTATGTGTACGTCTGGGTATGAGTAAGTCTGAGTATGAGTAGGTCTGAGTATGAGTATGTCTGAGTATGAGTAAGTCTGTGTATGAGTAAGTCTGGGTATGAGTAAATCTGAGTATGAGTAAGTCCGAGAGGAGGGGAGGAAAAGAGGAGGGAGTAGGAGGCGTCCAAGTAAGAACAAGAACCCCATATTAGGATACGGGGAATAATGAATAAGAAAACGAACACAAAACAGTGGAACCGCTTGGGGCCTCCTGCGGGGCCGTCTTGGACTTCGTTTGGCACACACTCGGCTCATTCTGGGGCCGTGTTCAGCTCTTTTCTGGCGAGAATGAGAAAGGGCGGAAAGCGAATGCGAAGCGTCTTGAATCCGCCCGCCTACCAGTCTGAGGGGCGTGTGGGATTCAACTCTGGAAGCATCATTTAAGATTTAACTCCAGAGGAGGCTCTGCAATTCTTGGGGGCCCAATGACGGCCCAAAAACGACGTACAGGACTAGATAGAACTCAAGATCGTGACCACCAGCCTTTCGGTGCAGTTTGTCACTCCATGTTGACCCATCTTGGGCCCATTCTTGGCCTCCACGATCGTCTCTTTGGGCCCAGAGAGCGCCTCTTCGTCCCAACTTCACCGACAAGTCGAACCCGCTAAAAGCATGTCCAAGCCCGTTCGATTCAATGATTTTCGCCTGCACCAGGGTCGCACTAGAGCCTTTTACTGCAAATGCTTGGGCCCGCCGGTGGAAAGGCTGAATATTTCATATCTACACCGTTGAAATACCTGTCCGGGAAACACCTTGCACCCCAGGCCTGGAACGGATGATGTTCGGACGGGGCTTGGGCCCATCGCGGGAATTGGGCCTTCGAAGAATCCTCGTGGACCCCATAGTCCTTCTTGGACCCTCTTGGCGGCCATCTCGGGGCCCTCAGCGGCTCTTCTTGGTGCCCTCCATGGCCATTTCCAAATCGTCTTGAGGTAACACTGGGCCGCGTTCTCGCTTTTCCTCGCCCCCTGCCGTGGAGGGCCAACACGAGAATAGAGAGCCAGCGCCCCACATCAGAGCTTCGTTGTCAATGACGGTGGACCGACGATCCGACGGGGATCGAACCGTCGATGAGCCACACGGCACGCTAGAGCCATATCGGCGATGGGACGAAGGATAATACACACCTTGCAGACGTGCTGCAGCGGATTGTCGCGTGGATTTCTGTCCATGCAAAACCCCAGAACGGCGGGTGAAAAACAAATTGAATTTCGCGTGGATTTTCTGTCTAGTTTTCATTCCTGGCCAAGCAAAACCCGCACGAAATTCACCTCGAAATCCGAAACGAAATTCTCCAGGACACTCCGGGCTCATCCTATCGTTTTCCGAACGACATCCACTCGGCGATGTTGGCGCCATGATACATGGAGCGCAGGAAGAGACGCACAGCTCACCTTCAATCTCATCTTCGATTTTTTCGGCACGCCTCATCTCGTCTCGGGGCCGTCTTGGGCTCCTCTGGCGAAGACCCAGAGGTGGGCGGGCGGTGGGCGCGCAGCGTTCTTGATATGAAGGGGCGCTTCCGAGTGTCCGCGAGGCCCGTCGCCTTGGTCGTCCCGCGCGGCTCGAACTTCGTCGTTAGCTTGGTCACTCCCTTCTGGATGGAGATGGCGGAGCAATCCCACCCCAGCTGCTGGGACAGCTTGCTGTAGGCGGTGAAATGGGAGTCGTACTCGTAGATGAACATGGTGTCCCTGCTCGGCGGTGCGCCCGCGGGGAGGGTGAGAGGGGGGAAACGCCTTCTCTGAGGGCGGCGGGGCTCCTCGGAAGCCCTCCGGCCTTCTGTGAGGTTTATTCTGCGTCTTCGGGGGGGCTCAGAGGACCTCCGTGGGGGCAGGAGGCCTGCCGAGCCTCGAGAGGGCCTCGGCGCGCCGCCGACCTGTTCCTCTTGAACATGCGCGGCTGCAGCGACTCCTGGCCGATGCTCGCGAGCTCGTCCTGGATGAGCTGGTTCGTCTTGTGGGATGCCAGCGTGTGGCGGTGCTCCACCGCGGCGAGGTACTCCTCGGCGGCCGTGTGGCCCTGCTTCTGAGCGATCTCCCTGGCTGTGCGGCCATCGTCAGCCTTCAAGAATACGTCGGCGCTAAGCTTAACCAACTGAGTGAGCACATCGACATTGCCATGCATGGCTGCAATATGAATGAAGCCGAACTTTCTCGTAGGGGGACGTGTGTTAATGGAGTCAAGACAAGTGCCCAAGAACTCGTCCACAGCTTCTTTCCAGACCTTAGCCCTGTCCACATCAGTTTTAGGCTTCGTCACTTTGTCTAAGTATCTCTCTAGCGTCTGGCGCTGAACTGTCTGGACCAAGTGGACAAGCTGGCTCTTCTCGTCGTCCACCCCCCACTGGATATTCGCGCAGGCGAGGAACTGCATGATCTCCTTCACCTCCCACTTCTCGACTGCCTTCTGCTGTTCCTTCCAGAGACTTTCCTCCTCAGCGGTCAGCGACATTTTTCCGCCCAGGGCAGCCTCCTCTGCCTCGAGGATGCGCTGGCTAATCCACTCGCCCACGGACTTGGCGCCCACCCCCCAGCCCTCGCAGAAGAAGGAACAAGGGCATATACATAAACTTCTGGAGGTCCACGCGGATTTCTTGAACCGACATTGGAACCCCCCCCCTGGCGCGCTCCGCGCGCAAGGGACGGCGCCGAATGCGCCGCCACGGGGGCGGGGTCCAACGCCGATCCAAGAAATCCAAGCGGAGCTCCGAACATTTATGCTTGTGCTGTTCTTGCTCTCATTCCACCTCGGGCCACTCCACGGTGCCGCCTTCTGGCCCGGCCTCCGCTGGCACGAAGGAAACGGATCCTGATGGAAGCGGGTCCTGGATCCCGGAGCTTTCCCAAGGGCCCAGCTCTTCGTCCGGAGCGGTTTCGTCACGGTCCCGGAGCCCAGGGAGGGCCCCTGGAGGCCGAAAGTTGGCGACAAGAACACCGGATCCGCTTTCCCGAGGGCCAGCGATACGGGAAACCGGCGGAAGGCAAGACTCGCGGTGCTTCGCCGACACGTCGGTGGCAGTCCCCCGATGGCGAGACCGCAGGTTCCCAGGCGGGACGGGCTCTCGGGCCCCTGGGCGATGGGGGAGCGATGCGTCCCCCTCTGAGCCTGCCTGGGCAGCGCGCCAGCAAGGGGAAGAGGCAGGGGGAAGCCTGCTCATGACTTGGCATGTTTGTTGCCTCGCCGGGGTGCTGAGGCAGAGTGAAGCACGATGCGTCCTCGCCGAGCCGACAGGCACTGGGAGCGGTGACGCCTGCCACTCGCCCGGAGCGCCCGACATCAACCACAAACCAGCCATGTGGGAGGCCCGGAAATTGGCACCAACACCAGCACAGGGGGTTGCCTCCACAGGGGGAAGATGATCCTCGATTTCGGTGTTGGTGGTAATATTTCGGTCACCTTGGCAGCAAGAATATTACCACCATCACAGAGATCGGGATCGTCTTCCCTCGGTGGAGGCACACCGCCGATCTTGGTGTTGGTGTCAACCTCTAGGCCTGCGACACTGTCCTGCCATCGACCACAAATCAGCAATGTCCACCTTTGGACCTTGCCATGCTGCAGCAACCTGACTGCAAGCATGCTCGGCCGAGGCTCCGCTGCTGGTGGGGCACACAAAGACTCGCCACGCAAACGCACGAGGCAAGCTGAGAGACCTCGGCTCTTGCCACACGAGGCGGCGGGGCATCTCCACAGCCACCCGGTCTTCTGAGAAGCCGCCACTGCCCTCGGAGGGGCCCCCGAAAGCTTCTCGGAAGGCTGGGGGCATCCTGCGCCTTCTGGAGGGGCCCGCCCCCCCCGGCCTCTTCACCCCTGGGCGCGCGGCCGACCCGAGACATGCGACGTCTGGCTGATGTTCCTCCCTCCTCCCTCCTCCATCCTCCCTCCTCCCTCCTCCCTCCCCCCTCCTCCTTCCTCCCTCCTCCCTCCTCCCTCCTCCCTCCTCCCTCCTCTTCCTCCTCCATCCTCCCTCCTCCTCCTCCTCCCTCCTCCCTCCTCCCTCCTCCCTCCTCCCTCCTCCCTCCCGGAGCCATTCTGGCTCAAGGCTAAACGTTGTAAAGGGCTGTCGACGCCCGAGAACCAGCGATTAGCTTTGGCTGTCCGCCGCAGCCAAGGCTCAGACCGTTCTGGCCACGTTTCGTCCACAGCAGCGTGTGGACCACCCGCCCCACCCGCGGGGCCTTCTTGCACTACTCGTCCTGGGAATCGTTCTACTGCTTAGGAAGGAGGCGGGATGGCGCAGGGCAAGTATCTCGCCTGCCCCTGGCACGGCTGCAGCGGCTGGACATGGGCGGATCGTGGAGCTTCGCATTGCACCAAATGTGGCACAAAGCTCGCTACAAAGAAGATGTCCGCAGGAGATGACGTGTCTGCCACGGGTGCCTCCTCTCGTTCCCAGCGGCCGCGCCAAGTCTCATTCGCAGGAGAAGCAGGGCAGCCGAAGGCAGGACGTGGACGATGGCGAAGACGATCTCGTGATCCACCAGCAGCAGCTCGGCCAGCACCCCCTGTTGCGCCTGAGCCTCACCTCGACGGATGCCAGGCCGCCATCGCCACCAAGCCTGCTGTGGAGCACAGCTCCGCCATCGAGTTGGCCGAGGCGCAGGTGGCTTTCTGGAAGCAGTGGAAAGGTGACGGCAACAAAGAGTATCGAGACGCGGTCGAATGTCTCAAGCAGGCGAAGCAGCGTGCCCTACAAGAGAAGACTCCAGATAAGCAAGTCCAGAGCCTCACCGACCAGCTCGGACAGGCCAAGCGAAAGCTCGGACGCAGCAAGAACACGGTCAACCAGCTCACCCAGCAGCTGGTCCTCGTCGCAGAGAAGCACGCCAGAGCTTTGGACGACTACCAAGAGGCCCACAAGGACGTGTACCGCCTGCAGACGCAGTTGCAGGTGGCCCAGCAGACAGCGGCCCAGCGCATGGCGCAGAAGTGCCGATGTCAGATGCCATGCGCTCCCTCATCGCTGCGAGGATCGACAAGCCTGCTGACCACATCCCGAAAGAACTCGACCAACACCTCCTGGCCATGGCGAAGATTCTCGTGACCATCGAGCACCAGCAGAAGGCGACGGAGGAGAACAGCAACGACCAGGAGAGGATCAAGGCCTAGGATAGAGCTGACGACGAAGAACCACTCCCAAGGGCGGGCCAGGATCCTGAGGGCGAGCCTATCAAGGCTGAGGTTCCCCCAGATGCCTCTGTCCACCCTGTCCCCAGCGACGATGACGCGCAGATGGAGGCCGCCAGGAAGCGCGCCGCCGAACAGCTCGTCAATTGCCAGGCCAACATCGCCAAGCAGGAGCTCCACGGCGAAGAAGCCAGCAAGAAGCTCAAGCTCACGGCGGAGACTGCTGCTGCCCAACATGCCGCAGAGCGTCCTGCGGTCCCAGCGCGTGGGTAGCAACATCAGCATCACTACCATCAACAGCAGCTGCTGGCCGCAGGTCAAAGAGTACATCCGTTCTGAGCACGCCACAGATGACCACGTCATCCGCGCACAGGAGACAAAGCTGCGCACCACGCAGTCTATCACTTACGCCAGTCAGTGGCATGAGCGACATGGATGGAAAATTGTGTTTGAGATGGGCGCAATCAGTTCTACGGGCACCCCGTCAGCTGGAGATTCTGCTTTGTTTCAGGATGGTTTTGACTTCGGGATCCAGGACATGAAAATTCCAAGGGAAGCTCAAGAAGTTCTTCCACAGGGACGCCTGGCTGGTGCCAGGGTAGAGCTGCCTGGACTCGGTATCATAAGAATTCTATCCGCGCGCAGGCAAGTTAGCACCGACTTGAATTAGACCAACTTGAACGTGCTGGCGGTCACCGCCATTTTACACAATGGGAATCAAATACCTATGTGCATAGCAGGAGGTTTCAATGTGCCCCACCAAGCTCAGGAAGCACGATTTCACACAGCGCGCTGGCATGCAAATCATACACCCCTCCTCCCCCACGCGCAGAACTAGGACCTCCCAGAGCTGTTTGGATCGATTTGTTTATAGTGGATGTCTGCAACATGTACTTCATGACCCCCGAGTGCGCACAGCATATCCACTGTCCCCACACCGCCCAGTAAGCAGTTGCATCAAGGTGGGACAGAAATTCACAGCCCCTGTTCTTTGCAAGCCGCAACGCCTGCCCACCCAGCCTGTTTTTGGGCCCAAGCCCCCAGAGCGAGAGTGGATAACCACGGAAGCAGCGCTCGACGCCGCAGAGGGGATCCTGAATAACGAGACTGCCGCGCCGATCCAGGGGGAAACCAAGCTGCCCTTGATCAAGTCTATCACTTTCTGGCCACGGACCGCGGGGTAACGATTGCCGAATTGACTGGCACGGTTTTGAAAACGACTTCTCGGCCCAAGGCTCGTCATCCCAGGGTCAAGTGGATCCAGGCGAAACAACGTTTGAAAGAACACCGATTCGCCTGGAAGTCTCGCGCTGGACCCCTACGATGGCTTAGGAATATCGCACAGCAGCTCAACTTCAAGTTAGCGAAGTTAGACGCCAACGACCTCGGCGAGATTACCGAGTGCCTCGAGGATGCACCCGAGTTTAACGAGCCAGAGTTTCTCCGAGCGCCTAGAGACTACCCGCCAGTTCCTGATTGGCATTGTTTTGGATGTGACTGCCAAGGTCCTGCGCCCCGATCTGGGACGTGCTGCCCTGGATGAAGTTCTGGAGAAAATCGAAGAATCTGGGCCAGGAGGTCGAGTTTGAAAAACGCGATGGTACGAAAGCTCGGCACGAGCGGGCACGGGTGGGCACGCAAGGCAGTGCTGGGTGGGCCCACAGATGGGCGCAGAACCTGGACGCGTGGAGCCCCGAAGAAATCCCCAGGAAAGGCATCTGGACGGGCCGACCCTCGATGTTACTGGAATTCGAAGCCGAGCGACTCAGTGACCTTTGGGATACTACGGAGGAAAGGCCTCAATACCATGCGTCCCCAGGACCACTTGAGCCATATCTCTCCCCAATCGAGCCCCAGGACCTCATTGACGCCGCCAAACAGCACTCGCATGCAACGGCCTCGGCTTGGGACGGACTTCACCCCGAGCATTTCCAGAGCCTGACGCGTGAACAAGATGGCCTAGTTTGTCGCTTCCAGCATCTTGTCGAGAAGATAAGTGATATGCCCACCCAGTTGCAAGCGATGATCTCGGTCCTGGCCCCTAAAAAAAGCCAAAAAAACACCCAACGAACTACTGCCCAGTTCCGAGGCACTGGGATGGTGCCAGGGATGTACTGAAGTTGGTCCAAGGTCCGACAAAGAGAAGCCCGACGATGGGAGGCCATACACCGACGCCCGTTCCTAGCCCACCAGGCGGGACAGAGTATCACCGAAGTTGTTGTTCGCCAGAGTCTCAAGGCGGAGCACGGAGTGATCTGCCGAGAGCCGCTTCACTCAGGAGCTGCGTCGTGGGACCTCAGCAACTACTATGAGCACCTGAATCACCAGAAGCTGATAGAGAGGGCCCACGACACAAGCTTTAGCAGCGTCCTTCTGAAAGGTCAGTTTAAGCCAGTACAGCAGCGCGAGACTTGTTGCAACCCGAAACCTGGTCCAAGTTGTGGACCACCCTACCCGAGGTATTGCAGCTGGTTGTGGATGGGCGACCTCCTTTAGTTCAAGTTTACAACCTGGGCCCTTTGGACGCCTGGACCTTCAAAAACCCCCAGGGCACGGACCTGCAGACGTTTATAGACGACCTATTCCTGGGACGCTAACATTACGATCCGCAAGCCCTAGTCCGACAGTTGCAACGCTCCGCGGCTAGGCTCGCCAACCTCGCGCAGGACGAGTTAGACTGCAAGCTCGCATTGCACGAGGCCCAGGTCATAGTTTCCACCGCCAGACTGCGTGGACTCCTGCGGAAGGCCTTGGGGAATACGCAGGCCCGACCGATGCACATGCAGCCACCGATTTGGGCACGGATAGCTCCGCGGGGGCCTCGCGTCTTAGATGCAAGAAAAGACTCGCCAAGGCCACCCTGTACAAACGCTTCGTTAGGCAGAACAACAGACGGCACCGAATACGGGCCATAAGGATTGCGGGAGGGGACACACGTAAACTCTGGAAGACGGGACTTCAGCCGTCCCGCACGCATGGCACGGAAGCGGTTGGCGTCGACAAGAGCTCCAGAGCCTCCAGACTGAGCACATTAAGATGGCGGGCCCCCTTCGCGCGACGCGCAGTCGATCTCTGAGCCTGGCGGTGCTGGAAGACCCCACGCGGAGAGCGGGACTCGGACCCGCCTTGACTTGGGCCACGACGGTTTGGCGCGCTGCGACCCGACCGAAACATCCTCGGGAACTCCTAGAACTGAAGGCCCTCGCTGAGCCCATCCTCCAAGCCCCTCCTTCCAAACGGGCTGCCGAAAGGGGTCCCTTTGGGGCTGCTTTATTATCCCTGCGTAGCATTGACTGGAGCGTCTTTTCTGCTTCTGAGCTGCAGGATGCGAGCGGATCCCGACTGCCGCTTGCAACCTGCACGCCCAAAATGATTTCGCGAAAGATGCAGGAGGCCTGGGAACAGGTCGTCCTTAGGAAGGCAGCCCAGAAGCTAGGACACCCCCAGGAGACCCTTCATGTGGATATAGCTAGGAAAATACTGGTGGAGCCTACCTTACCCAAGAAAGCCAGATCCACCCGGATTAGTTTTCTCACCCAAAGCACCTGGACCAACGCGCGCCTGCAGAGTGCAGGCTATGATACAGGCGACCGGTGCCAGCGCTGGCATGCTAGGGATGATTTGAAGCACCGCCGCTTGCACTGCCCTCTCAGCGCCGCCCTTAGAGAGCCTTTTACGAGAGACGAGCTTGACACGATTTCGAGGGTGTCTGATCTGGCTTTAGCATACGGGTATCAATTCCAACCAGAATTCGATAACGGGGCTCCTGAGAGGTTTGGGTTCGAATATGCCGAGTTTGGGTGCAGAGACCCTAGTCTTAGGCCTGAGGAGGCCCTGACGGGCGAAATTTTCACGGACGGATCCTGCTTGAAACCAGGGGGCCGTAAAGCTTATAACGTAGCGGGCTGGTCGGTCATATCGATCGATGGGCACGGAGAAGTTCTTGCCTACCTCATCGGGCGCGTGGGCAGTCGCCTCCCTTCCTCCTCCCCCGCTGCTGAGCACTGTGCTGTGATTGCTGCTGATGATCAAGGAGCCATAGACGTGCATAAGAAGGCCGATCTCGCCAGGACCGATTGTTTATGGGGCCTTCAAGGTCCTGGGCGGCGGCTGTTCGACCCCCTCTGGGGCCGCGGTTAATAGGGGGAAACAAACCTACCTCGCTTTTGACCACCCTCGCTTCCAAGAGATACCAAGCGATGCCAAACTACGGCCTGTACTGGTCAGGCCGCTTGACGAGGAGGCGCGTGGTATGACTTGGTTTTGCTTGGAAGCGAAAGCGGGGTAGGTAATTCACACACTGAGTTAAACAAGATCAAAGCGCACGTCAACATTTCTGAGCTCAGCCTGCCTTTCTTGATCGGAGAAGGGCCAAAGGCAACGAGGCTGCAGACAGGTATGCTAAGATCGCAGCCGCCCGAGCCTCACAACCCAGTCAGACTGACATCGAAGCCCAGGAGCAGCAGAAGCAACTGCTAGCTAAAAGCACCTTCGTTTCGTTTCAGAGGCCCTACTGCTGTGGCCAACAGTGGCCCCCAGGGTTGGTGCCAAAGCTGTCGACAAGCCAATCCAGAGCTTGAGAACCCGCCCACGGGGGCGGCAGCGGCTGGAACCTCTTGGGACCTTCCCCCCCCGCCCTCACCTGTGAGCCCTCCCCCCTTCTCCACTACGGAAAGACCGAGAAAGCACCAATGGCACCCCTGGGAGAAAAGTTTGCTGCGCGCTGCTTGTAGACAACGATGCGGCAGTCAATCTGCCATGCAGCGACGAGCCCGAGAGACCTGCCCAGGATTTTGCCAGATTCACGCCGATTTAGTGAACAATCCCCGTGGACACGAGCCCTACTTTTTTCGGTTATGCTGACGATTTTACCCCGTTCAGTGTGATCCTGTGCTGGAAGTGTGGAACCTTCACGGAAGGCACGCGAGGATTCCAAGACGAGTGCCCAGGCGAGCCCCGAACCATGGCAGAAGGCTACACAAGCAACGTGCTATGGAGGGTAGACATGCCAAGGGGGCCGCCAACTCGCCGATAATTTTGGAAGTTCCGACCTCGTTGGCCCAGCTGGCCAAAGAACTAGCTGAGTCAGCCCCTACCGACCTCGAGAAGATTGGTAAACCGAGTGGGGAGATGTAAGCCTGGATCGTTTCACGAGACGAGAGCCATCCGCCTGTCTCCGTGGCTGTCCCTGTCGTTTGCCGTGATAGCCCCCCAGAGGGGCAGCGGATTGATGCTCAGGACGGCCCGAACCCCCCCCTTCAGTCTGAGCGCTGGTCCTGCCTCCTCCCTCCCCCCTCCCCAGGGCCGGTTGTTCGTCCCGAATCTTTCGCGGCGGTCCCCGGGGCCTGGCGAGGGCCCCCCGAGGCCGAAGACGCCGGCCAAAAATCAGCCCTGATGCGTGCAAGACGTTGCATGCCTGGGACTACACAAAAGGAGGCATCCCGAATGGGGTCGGAGTGGATGGGGTCGGGGGACCGCGCTGCATCGTCGATGCATCGTCGGCGCATCGTTGATGTATCGGCGATGCATCGGCGACGTCGGCGACGTATCCGCGACGTCGGCGAGGAGAAAATCGGGCCCCGCATCGAGCCGCATCGCCGACGCATCGGCGAGCGGCGCAATCCCCCGACCCCATATGCTCGGACCCCATTTGGGAGGCCTACATCCCTCTGCGAAACTGGAAGCAAGTTTGTTCCTGCCCCGCGTCGGCACCCCCAGGCCCCCGAAGTTCAATTTTTAGGCCGAAACAAATGACAATCCTCATGCCGAAACAAACGACTTCAAAGTGCCGTCAGCGTCCGCGGGCCGTGTCGCGCGCGCCACGGAACACCGAAAGCGGGGGCGAGGGGGGGGGGTCGGCAAGACTTGCTTCAGGCGTCGCGGGGCGTTGTAGATGTATGACGGCCTCCGGTGGGTCCCCCCACTCCAGCGGGAACGGCCGGATCGCACCGAGGTCCGCGGCCATCTTCGCCCTGATCCACTCCGCGGTCGAGGCGCTTCCCTGCCCGTAGCCCGCGGGCCAGGGCACGGCCTGCTCGGCGGCGTTGGTGCCGTGGCGAGGGGGGCGCCCCCAGTGGGGCGGGAAACCTTCCGAGGGCTGCCAGAGGCCCTGAGATCTGGGCGCCGCAGCTCTCTCACGGCGGGCGCCAGGGACCCTCACAGGTCGATCCGGCTCGAGAAGCGTCGCTGCGAGGCGGGGAGTTGTCCACATCCACCGCCTGGGAACCGACGTCCCGGTGCCCCAGCGGGCGGTGGATGTGGACAGACTTGTGGCCCCCGGGGGGCCGAATACGTCCATGTCCACCGCCCGCCGAGGTACTCGAAAACTGACCCTCCAGGCGGTGGTCATGCATACATTACCGCCTCGGAGTCGCCGAAAAGATTGGGCCCAGGGCGTCACCAATGCTGCTGCACGATGCTGCAAATCCTTCGGGAAGGCAGATCTCCAGGAGGGCGTCCCTGGCCCAGGGCGTCCCCAGCTCCTCGGCCCACCTCGGAGCCCCCGGGGCCCTCGGTGGGCCTCCGTGGGGGGTGCTCGGAAGGCCTCCCTTCGGAGATCCCGGGGACACCTTGCCGGCGGCCAACGAGGGAGCCCCCGCCGTCTTCTGAGAGGTTTCCTGCGTCTTCGGGGAAGGCTTAGAAAACTTCTCGGAAGGCCAGGGGACTTCGGAGACTTCTGAGATGGCCCGCCCCGTCTCACTTCCGCCCCTCACTCGCTGCTGGCATTGGGCCAAGACGCTTCTGGCAACACCCAAACCTTTGATCTGCCCTTCCAGGAGCGGTTCCGGTGCGGTCGTCTCTGGCTCCGTGGCGCCATCCTTGGACTCGCACGTGCCCATTGGCAGCCGAACGAGCGGAAGCGGGGAGATTGAGGAGTTCGGCCCTGAGCAAATATGGCCATGGAGGCACAGCTTGTTCGCTGGAAGCTCGCATCCGAGATGCTTCCTGCTTCCGATGTTTGCGCTGAATCGGTTCGTGCTCAATCGCGGTCTTACCCCCCAGAGCCAGGATCACGTTTTCCATCACAAGGCTACCATGATGTGTCACAGCAGACGTGCCACTACATTCCCACACGGTTGCACTACCAAACAGTTCATTTGCAACTCACCACCAGCGCTGATCACGCCGCACCACCCATCGCACGACTGCCATGCCAGCACACACACCACCACAACCACCACCACCCCTGATTCCCAGTCTGTCCGCCCACCACCAGCGCTTCCAGGCATTTGTACATTCTATTGCAACCACTCTTCAACAATTCTGCTGCTAGCAAACTACTGTCCCGCACTGGGCCATCGTCAACTCGTTAGCACGGACAGTGGTACCGCTACTGCTACTAGTGTTGATGCCACTACTTCACGACAATCACTCATGCTACGCCTATTGTGAGCGCTGCTGAGTACACTCGAATGCAACTGTCAAGGCGACCGGCACTACTAACAGAAATCCGCCGGCCCCCTTGCGGGGCCACCAGGCTGTAGGCGCGGGATTCGCAGTTTCCTGTACCAGTTGTAGCTTGTAGTTTCCAGTGTTACAGTTCTGCTTATTGCTGGTTACTGTAACTAATTGATTGACCGCGCGAGGGGGGGGAGGCCCAAACCGGCATTTTAGCACCCCCTGGGCGCGTTGTCTGAATTGCTGGGGGGGCTCGAAATCAACACCCCTCACACAGATCGGCGGGGTCAGGGTCCAAAAACACAAGGGATTTGCCACATTTCTGAAATTCGGTGCCACCCCTCACGCAGATCCGCGGGGTCAGGGTCCAAAAACACAGAGGATTTGCAACATTTCTGAAATTCGGTGCCACCCCTCACGCAGATCCGCGGGGTCAGGGTCCAAAAACACAGAGGATTTGCCACATTTCTGAAATTCGGTGCCACCCCTCACGCAGATCCGCGGGGTCAGGGTCCAAAAACACAGAGGATTTGCCACATTTCTGAAATTCGGTGCCACCCCTCACGCAGATCCGCGGGTCAGGGTCCAAAAACACATGGGATTTGCCACATTTCTGAAATTCGGTGCCACCCCTCACGCAGATCCGCGGGGTCAGGGTCCAAAAACACAAGGGATTTGCTACATTTCTGAAATTCGGTGCCACCCTTCACGCACATCCATCGCAAGGCGTGGTAACCCAAACTGCGAGAACTCCCTCGGCCCTTTAATCGCAAGGTGTGGTAACCAAGCCCGTAAACCATACACGTCTTACCAATCGCCAGGTGTGGTAACCCCTCTTGTGATCAGTTGGTTTTGCTGATTGCGAATCGGCTTCGCATGAAGTTTCGATACTGCTTCACGACAGCGCCAAGGCCTCATGACTTAGCTCTTCCATGGCCCATTCTCCGAGAGAGGGGGCCGGCGGCAGGGGGCGAAGCCCTTACGGATAACAACCTCAACACCGCATCGCGCGAAGTGTGCCTCAGACTACCACTGCGAGATCCCGACCTGCACCCGGATAGCACCCTGGTCGCTATTACCTGCCACCGTGCCATGAGGCACGAGCTGGAGTGTCATCAGGCCCCTTGAATTTCTCCATCCTCAGTCCTGAGCGAATGAAGAATACGAGGCCCAGACGCCGAATTCTCGGTTCTGCCAGGGCGTGCCACGCACAGGGAGTGTCACCGCACAACTTGCTCGGAACTGAGAGCGCCCCAAAACGGGGCCAGAGGGCCCCGAGAGGCTCCCAGAACGGTCCAAGAGGGCCTCGAGTCGCCAAAAGATCGCTCCAAGACACCAAGATGGCCTCGAGACGGCACAAGATGTCCCCAAGACGCCCCGAAAGGGCTCGAAGTGCAATCCCAAGAGGGTCCCAAAACGCCAACATCAGTTATGTTCCGTAGGTTGTCGGCGGATGTTCGCGGTCTCGCCTTTTCAGGCTTCCGACGCTGCATGACGGCCCAATAGACCCCCAAGATCGCCCCAAGAGGCCCCAAAGAGGGCCCCCAGATGGCCCGAGAGCTACCCAAGACGACCCAAGAGGTCGCCAAGACGGCCCAAGAGGGTCCCAAAAGGGGCGCAAGAGAGGCCCCAGAGAGGGTTCAGAGGGTTCACACGAACCGACATTTCGAGCCCTCCACCCGAAGACCTAAGGTGACCCCGAGACCGCCAGCAGGCCCCGAAGAGCCCTCGAGAAGCTCCAGGAGGCCCCCAAGAGACCCAAAGCAGGCCCCAAAGCACGGAGAGGAATGTCGTCAGGCACTCAAGAACCCTCAAACTGAACCCGGACAACTGAGCATACTCTTCAAGAGCCCCGGATCCCCGACTTACCGATCTCCTGGGCGTTTATGTCCAATCGTCATCACGGCCAGAGCGGCCATCATGACCATCAACACGGTCACCACCGTCGTCGGCACTACAGCGGCCATCATCGCAAGCGCCGCTGGCAAAATACAACAATGCCACCGCCGCTGCCGCTGCTATTGCGCTCGAAGTCGCCAGCGTGGTTCAGAGCGGCATGAGACCTGTGACACCCTCCTCTTCCTCCTCCTCCTCCTCCTCCTCCTCCTCGTCATCATCATCATCATCATGACCACCACCACCACCATCAGAACCACCACCACCACCACCACCCATCATCATCATCATCATCATCATCATCATCATCATCATCATCATCATCATCATCATCATCATCATCATCACCATCATCATCATCATCAACATCATCATCATCATCATCATCATCATCATCATCATCACCACCATCACTCATTATCATTCTTCTTCATCATCATCATAATCATCAGCATCAGCAACATCATCAGCATCAACATCGCCATCATGATGATCATCATCAGCAGCAGCATCAGCAGCCTCATCAGCATCATCATCATCATCATGATCATCATCATCAACAATCGTCGTCGCCGTCGTCATTGTCCGCATAATCATCGTCGTAGCCATAATAAACATCATCACCAACAGCAGCAGCAGCAGTATCCGTATCATCTCCTTCAGCATCATGGTCAGCATCATCACCAGCATCATCATCAGCATCATCATTATCATCATCGTCACATTAATCGCCGTCAGCATCGCAATATTCAGCAGCAGGATCATCATCAGCATCAGCATCACCATTGGCGTCGCCATCATCATCGTTATTATTAGTATTATTATCGTCATCATCACCAACACCACCATCATCTTCAACATCTGCGTCATCATCTTCATCATCACATTCATTAACATCATCATCATCAGCAGCATCATCATCATCAGCATCATCATCGTCGTCATCACCGTCATCGTTTTATCATCAGCAGCATGATGAGCATCATCAGTATCGTCGTCAAAATCGCCAGTATCAACATCATCATCTGGGTCATCATCATCATCCTAATAATCATCGTCATCATCATCGTCATCTTTGTCATCAGCGGCCTCATCATCACCATCAGCATCATCGTCACCATCGTCATCATCAGCGGCAGCACCAAAGCCATCATCAGCGTAGTCGTCATCATCGTCATCGTCATCATTATAATCACCATAATCATCAGCATCATCAACATCATCCCCATCTCACCTTCACCACAACCATCACGACCACTGCCATCCTCACCATCATAATCATCACCACCACCATCAGCATCATCCTCATCATTATCACCATCATATGTCATCATCGTCAGCCTTCCCTTTCGACTTCCGCGTCCGTCGGGCATGGTGCTCGCAAAGCTTATGTTGGCAGAATTGGCGCGTTCGAGGATAGCGGACAAGAGCAGAACTGACCCGTATTTCTTCGACACCGCCTCCTCCTTCTCACTGACCTCATCTGACTCTTCCTCTTCCGCCTCCCCCTCCTCCTCCTCCTCCTCCCCCTCCCCCTCCAGTTCCTCCTCCCCCTTTCGCACCCCCAGTGCTTCTCCTCCCCTCCTCCACCTCCATCTTCTCAGCATCTTCCCCCCTTTTTTCCTCCTCCTCCTCCTCCTCCTCCTCCGCCTCTTCCTCCTCCTCTTCGGACTACTCCTCCGCCTCCCTTCGTCCTCTCCCCCAATCTCTTCTCTTTCCCTCGACCCCTCATTTCCTTCCGACCTCGTCCCCTTCCGCCTGCGGCTCAAAACGCTGGCCCGCATAAGAGGGGGGGGGGGGGGCCTTTCTCACCTTTCTCCCCGACTGGCAGGTCGCCCGCGGTCATGAGTTCGGGGGGCATGTCCTCGGCGGGCAGAGATGCGCCCCCTCCTCCTCCTTCCTCAGTCTATCATTGTTCTTTATGTGTATGTACTCCGGCTCTGCCACCTAGCTGGCTGGCCGGCCGATCACGACCAGATCCGCAGGGCCCCATCCGAGCTGTGAGCCAACCTACAAGAGCACGGCCTGTCGTCTCGACACGGACACACGCAACAGGGGTGGGACGGGGCGCACATCCCGCGCGGAAGGCCGAAATGTTACGCTCACCGGGGCGCCGCGCTCACTCTTCTGGGGAATCACATTCCCGCCCGGGCGCGGCGCACACTCTGCGCACGCCACCTGGTCGACGCGCCAGCGAGCGAGGATGCAGTGTTCGCCCCGGCGCCGCGCAGATCTCGCCGGAATGCGGCGCTGCCGCCTCGACGCGTCGCACAGTTTCCGCTCGCGAGTGCCCCAGAGGGCCCCCGCGCGAGGGGGCGACTGGTCGCCCTCGCCCAGGCCCCGTGCACATTTCGACACGAAGGGGTTCTCCAGCGCGGGCGCGGCGCGTGGCTCGCTCGCCGAATCGCACGGCAACGACAGCGGCACCGAGCTGCGCAGGAGCCTGTGAAATGCCGACCTCGCCCAGGCGCCCGCAGCTCGTGAGTGAAAGTGGCAGCGCTGCGTCAGCGCGGCGCCTGCTTCGTCTCCGCCGAGGTCATCGGAAGTTGTGCTGCTCTCGTCCCCGCGCGGCCCGCGCAGCTTTCTCTTAGTCAAGTCGTTGGAGACAGCGCCGCGCGCGAGCGCGTTCAGTTTGCAAGGTGAGCGCGAGTTCCAATCCCAATGTCGACCGGTGTCGCGCGCAATTTTTATGTTGTGGGAGGCAGGGAGGGAGTGGGCGGGGCCCTCCTCCTTATCAGGAGGATCGTCTTCTCTTCTCTACCTCTACTACAACGACTGCGACATGCCGAGAATCCTGCTAACACGAACACTACGGCCACTACTGATACCTCACATGGGAATGCTACGACTAATGGAAAACATCGCCGGGCAGTTGCAAATCATGCGCTCAACATATTGTACAACGATAGGTCGACGTATACGTCTACAGCGAATGGCACGACTACAACTACACATGCCACCAACATTATCACTACTACTAGCTCGGCTACCACTACAACCTAAACTAACACTGCAAGGACAAATGCGATTACTAAGCACACTGCAAGTACTAGGAAAATGACCAGCACTACTACTACTACTACTACTACTACTACTACTACTACTACTACTACTACTACTACTATTACTACTCCTACTCCTACTCCTACTACTACTACTACTACTACTACTACTACTACTACTACCACTAACACTACACTACATATTACACCTACTACTTACAATACTATTAATACTACTACGACTACTACTCCTACTCCTACTCTACTCCTACTAATACTACTCTACTAATTACTACGACTACTTACTACGACTACTACTACTAGTAATACACTACTACTACTACTACTACTACTACACTACTACTACTACACTACTACGACTAACTACCTACGACTATTACACAACTACTACTACTACTAATAACTAACTTACTTACTACTACTACTACTAATACTACTTACTACTACGGACTACTTATACTACGCTACGATTACGATTACACTACTACTATACTATACTACTATGCGCTGCTGCTGCTGCTGCTGCTAACTACTACTACTAATACTACTACTCCTACTACTATTACTACTATTACTACTTACTACGACTTACTACTACTACTACTGCTACTACTACTACTACTACTACTACTACTGCTACTACTACTACTACTACTACTACTACTACTACTACTACTACTACTACTACTACTACTAGTACTACTACTACTACTGCTACTACTACTGCTGCTACTACTACTACTGTTGCTGCTGCTACAACTACTACTACTATACTATACTATACTAAAATATACTATACGACTACTACTACTACAACT